CATGGTGTGGCTTTCAAGGCTCAGGTTCCAGCTTATTCAAGGAAATGTAACCTGTCACAAGGGCACCACAGAGCCAGACCACGATGCTGTCAATCTGCGCCTGTGGAGGAAGGAATGAAGTTAGAGGTCAGAGACTGTGGTCAAGAATATTGCTCATGTTTCTTATTTCATAGAATTAATGCAAGCACTAGGTGTTTTACATCAGTCACAGGAAGGTTGAAGAAATATGTACAAGTTACAACTCATCACAAAAGGACACTGCAAAAGGTTAACATGTGTAATGTGTTACAGGATCAAAGTTTTACTACTTATAGGTGGGATTTTTAAACTGATGCTCACAGTCTTTGGCCACATTCATGACAACTATTTAAGGTTACTGGGAAATAGCAGAATAAATGTACAAAAACAACATTTTCCAATAGGGTTTGATACAGCTGCTTTGGGATGCAACTAACAATATTTCATTATTTATCAATCTGTAAGTTAATCTATTAGTTGTTTGGGATATAAAATATCTGAAATTTCCTGTCCCAAATTCCCAGAGTGATGTCTCAAAATGTCTTAGATCAATTAATCGACTGAATGTTTCGTCTTTACAGTTTTTCTGAGGTGGATGACACAGTTCCAGCCTGATAGCAGTCTGTCCTTATTTTGCTAGGTCAAAATATCCAAAACAAATTGCAAAGATTTTCCAGAATGTTTCCAAAATGCCACAAACATTTCATGTGAGCAGCTTAAGCTTCATTGGTAAGCAGTGCATACTAAATGCATAGAGAGTTTTAAAATGCCATCTGCCGCCCTCTGCACTTCATCAATGTGTAGCTGCGGTTGCACAAGTCAGCCCCTGTCACTGCATACTTGTGCTGCGTGGTCATCGGTGAACACCCTAGTGAGAGCGCACAGCTCCAGCGTGGGGTCAAAACAAGTCAGCAGCCCTCCCCGTGACACTACCCTGTGATCAGACAGTCTTATCCCAGGAATATACTCTGCATTCTGCCACAGCAGCGTCACTCCTCCAGACAGGATGATGTGTGGAATTAATACACGTTCCTGTCAGTGGCTTCATGCGAGGGCCGGCAATCTAACACGAAACACTACATCTGGGCTGACACTAAAAATGAAGAGATGGAGCAATGAGACTGAAGATAACAAGCACGAAATGTGCAGCAAACAAACAGCGAATCCAAAGTTAGTGCTGATACCAGTGTATTGACACCACAGACGTCAGGACAGCTCCCAGAAGTGAAACCACCACAAGTCTCACACCCCTTGGTGGCTGGTTGCAGTACAGGTCAAAAATCCCACCCCTCCATATTAGTAGATGGGACAAGAGCCAAACTAAAAACTCAAAGTATAAATCAAATACATTTTTCCCAAAGGTGCTTTTTGTCCTTTGAGGTAATCTGCGCTTACATGAATCCTGATGTTCCAGTCATAACTGAAATCAAAATAAAAACGCATCATGTAACCACATAGTCGGAGAGTTTTCGATCGGAATGAGAGAGGTGGTGTAAACCTTTGATAATCCTTTCAGTAGGAAAATATTAGCCATGCAAACACTTGATGTGATAATCTCTCATTGGAAAATATATCCTTTTTGCAGATGTTTGCCACATGTGGGGGTAACTTTGGGTGACATGATGTCCTGGGAGGGACAGATACATGGCAGAAGCTAAACAAACTGGTCTGTATCCAGGCCCACACCCACCTCGGGCTAGATAACAGGGTGGCTTCTACCAGTGATGCTAGGTGGCTAACCGGTACTGACAACAATATTATGCGAGTGCCATCACTTTGGGCACATCAGGAGTTGTATTCTGATTAAATGCTTTGAGGATGTAAACGCATCAGATGTAAACGCTGATCCAATCAGCGTCTATGTAAACAATTAGGTTGGAATCTAGAAGCTGAATGATTTAAATCTGATTCAAAACATAATGTCCACGTAATCACAGCCAGTGATTTGTGTACAAGTGGTCATTTTTCTGGTAAGTTTGTTTGTAATAAGTTTACTTATGCTATAAAAACAGGTATTTTTCAGACAGGTTTTGATTGGCAGCCTGACCTCGCAGCTCCACCTGTGTTCACTTCTGCCTAGTATCTGGTTGTGAAATGCATCAAGAAACCAAGATGGCCAGCCAAGTGTCGGTGATAATTTGGCTTCTTTCTTGCACAGTGGCAGGAGAATGCATAGTCCATATTTATATCCAGCCAATGGTAGACACTAAGGGTGTAAAGATGTATCATGGGACGATATATTGTGGTTCAAGAATGCAACAATATGCATTGTAAAACTGAAAAACGGATCACAAAATCAATCAAATGTATTTATGTTTACACAATAGGAGGCAACAGATCTGTTTTCTTGAGCGACCCTGATGCTCACTAGGGTCAGCTACAGTAGCCATTAGCCACTCTCTAATCTACGGAATAAGAATCAAAATGTTTTAAAACATTTATATACCTAGAAAGAAAGAAATAACTGCAAAGCTGGTTTTCATTCTCGCCGTGTTATTGTGAGTATATCAAACCATATGCCGGGTGTGTTCTGCATATAGATAAATTATATCTTTTCATTAATATTATGAAAATAATTCCAGTAATCTTGCCCAGAGATACTTTCTAGTAGATGTAGATGAACACTACAAGCTGCCTAGACCGGTTGTATTGAGCACAAACAAATGGTAAGCTAGTTTCACACACAAGGGGCCTGACAGCTAAAG